TATGGATTGCTTTTGTTTCTTTTCAATGTACCTTTATAAAGTTGGCATTGATGTAACTGGAATCCTCATCTGAGGTTATCAAGGACAGCTCTACCCGGCTATGATCATCTATAATATAAAGGAAAACATCATACAATTTTGCATCATACAACTAAGCACACAATTAAGTAAAGCCAGAGGCCCAACACTGTGAATAATGGAAGCTCATAAGTGGTGAATGAATGAATGAACGAATACTCTTTTGCAGCAAGAAAGAGTGCAACTATATGCCAATGCCATGTTCCAGGATAAAGATCAGCAATGGGTCAAAAAAAAAAAAGATGGGAATGATTGAATTTGGGAGAAGGTATAAGTTTATAGGAAGGAATAGAACTTACAAGGCAAGATATCCTTATATCTGTTTTTCTTGATATTGTTGGGCTTCTCTGCCACAGTTGTGGGATAGGTTTTGTCTGTCTTGTACTTGGTAGATTGCTTTTTCAATTTCTGTAATGAAATTCCAGGAATAGTTAAATCTTCCTAAGGAAAAGTAGGTAAGAAGCTAGTCCCACCATTCCACTTCAGCCCTTTTAGCATCTTCTTGTTCTGACTCCATTCAGGGCAGAACTCCAGGCCACAAGAACAACAGAGGTCAGTAACATTTGAAGAAGTGAAAAGATCACACTTGTTGAAGCGAAGCCACAAATAGCTAAAAGTCAAAGGTAAAACTGGTGAATATTTTAAAAACCAAATATCTTAGAAAAACAAGCTATATGCTCCACCCAAATGAGTCAGATATGAAAAGTCTAATTTACATTCTTTACAGCTGCTCTTTAGTTCAGTGACTGTCTTAGTTATGTCCAGTACTGCAATCATAGAAATATCACAAGTGGAGGGCTTTAACAAGTTTGTTCTCTCACAGTTGAAGAGGCTGAAAGTCTGAATTCAGAATGTCAGCTCTAGGGGAAGCCTTTCTCTGTGTGTTGTTGGCTCACGGTTTAGGTAGAAGGTCCTGGCTCCTTTCAAAATCTGTGGGCCTGCCATTCCTTGGAGATCTGCATGCGCCTTGACAGAGCAGTGACCCTGGGTTCAAAGGATGTGTTCAGCTCCCAGCTCTTCTTTCTTTGTGGTCATCAAGTTCTTCCCTCTCTGCTTGCTTCTCTCTCTTTTTATCTCTTGGGAAACTTCCCTCACGTGGGATCAAGACTGTAACCTGAGTTAAGGTGCTATATCCCACCAGCCGCTCCGTGGGAGAAAGATGAGGCTTTCTACTCCCGTAAAGATTTACACCCTTGGAAACCCTGTACAGGGTCGCTATGGGTCGGAATCGACTCGACGGCACTTCACAATCACAAATCAAAAATCATCCCACCCTAATCCCCTTACAACTGATTTCTTGGTCACTCTCGGGGGATGATTACATCATTATATAACTTCAAAAACTGCATAATTACATAATTGCTCAGCCACTGAGAATCATGGCCAAATAAGGTTGACATAGAATTTGAGGGGACACAATTCAATCTATGAAACAGAGAAGTTAAATTCTTAGTGATCTTTTCACTTCAGGTTACTTTCTAAAAAGGTAAAATGAAGCTTAGCTGGATGAAATTTTTTTTTTTTTAATGTCCAGAAAATTTTCAAAGAATTCAGGCCAAAAGCAGTCACTTTTTTTTTTTTTTTTTTTTTTTTTAAATATGACCCAAACTTTAAAGTCCTCCCTTAACCAAACAATAATCTTTAAACAGCACCATATTCTGTTGGTAGAATATAATCTGGCCAGGCAGGGTCTAGTTTAATGGGATTGAACAAGGTTCCTCAAGACTAAGAAGTAACTCCTTAAAATGATTCCCATTTGCCAGTGTTATACTATAGACCAGTATATAAGTCTGAGAACAATGATAGCCTGTCTGGCTCCTTTTGTTGTTGTTATGTGCCGTGGAGTTAGTTCTGACTCATAGTGACCCTGTGCAGGGTTTCCAAGGCTGTAAATCTTTACGGAAGCAGAAAGCCTCATCTTTCTCCCGTGGAACAGCTGGTAGTTTCCAACTGCTGACCTTGCAGTTCGCAGCCCAATTCATAACCACTACGCTACCAGAGCTCCTTATAGGAGCCCTAAATCTTGTTTATCTCCTTTATCCTTCAAACAAACTGTATCTAATAGATTTGGCTTTTTGTGAACCCCTACTCTATTTGGGAAAGGTGAAGGGAAAACATCTATGACAGCCAATAAATATTTGTTGACTTGAACTAAAGAAAATAATCTTAATTATTTGGTCATTATTTAATGCTGAGTTAGTCACTTGAAGTGGATTCATTGCCTCCTACGTGTTAGATAGTTTCAATGGTCTCATATGAATGAAAAAGAGGGACAATGAAGAAGGAAGACCCAAGAAGAACTGATGCATTTGAATTATGGTATGATGAAGAATATTAAATCACGGGCTGTCAGAAGAATGAACAAATCTGTGTTGGAAGAAGTACTGCCAGAGTGCTCCTTAGAAGTGAGGATGGTGAGACTTCATCTCCTGCACTTTGGACATGCCATTGTTGTTGTTGTTTAGTGCCGACAAGTCGATTCCAACATCTAGTGACCCTGTATAGGCTTTCCAAGGCATGGTAACCCTACGGTTCAAACCAACCTTGTGGTCTAGTGGTTTATCCCACAGTGCCACATGAGGACTCCTGGACATACCATGAGAGGGGACCAATCCCTGGAGAAGGGCATGATGCTTGATAAAGTAGAGGGTCAGCAAAATTGAGGAAGACCTTGAACGAGATGGATTGACTCAAACACAGCAATGATTGTGAGGATGGTGCGGATTGGGCAGGGTTTTGTTCTGTTGTATGTAGAGTCGCTGCACTGGAATCCACTAGATAGCACCTAACAACAGCAACGACATGTGCTAGATGCCTTGGCATCTACTTAGTCTCAATTCTCTTTAACTCCCTTCTTGAGATTACCTTCTCTTTCACCTCTTATTGTTGCTGTGAAGTGCCGCCAAGTCATTTCCAACTCGTTGTGACCCTGTATAGGATTTCCTGGCATAGAGCTGTGGATTAATGTGCTAGACTGCAAAGTTGGTTTGAACCGTAAGGTTGGTGGGTCAAACTCACCAGGCATTAAACCCTATACAGGGTTGCTATGAGTTGGGATTGACTTGATGGCACATAAAGACAGCAACAGCAACAATAGGGTTTCCAAAGAGTGGCTGGTGAGTTTGAACTGCTGACCTTGTGGTTAGTTGTTCAGTGCTTATCCTCCAGAGCCACACCAGCACTGACACTATCTCAGTTCCCTTTCTTCTCTGACTCTTGCTCCTCATTCATTCTTACTGGATTTCTGTTTATGTAACTGAGAATTGTCCAGAATTCTAAAATTAAGTCCTCAACTCTCTGCTCTTCTGTTATTATGTACTTTTGCTCAGAGTTATCATATGTTGTTGTTACATGCCGTGGAGTCAGTTCCGACTCATAGCGACCTTGCATGGGGTTTCTGAGGCTGTAAATCTTTATGGAAGCAGAAAGCCTCATCTTCTGTATAAATCGAATTCTAATTCTGACCTCTAGGGGATAGCTTTCAAATATCTATATCCAACGTAGATTGCTGAATCTCAGCCATCTCCTAGGTATTTTCTCCTATTATAATCTCAAACTCAGCACATTTCAAACTATAATCATCATTAAGTATTTGATATGTTAACACTGACAGTATTATTGTTCTCCCACACAACCATATCCTAGAAGCTGAGAGTCTTTAGGTTCCCGCTCTTCCACAATTCTTACCTCTGATTCAGTCAGCAAGTTCTACTGATTCTTCTTATGTCACGTCTTCCTTCCTTCCCTTGCTCTCTACAGATACCTTAGTTTCAATCTTTGTCCCTTAAAACTTGAACTATCTTCATTACTTCTTAACGCTGTACTTTCCTGTTTTCCCATTCAAATGAGGTTAGAATTATTACGCTAAATTAATCTTACGAAATTACTACTTTTATTATCTCTCCCTGCTTTAAATTAAATAAATAATTTCTAGTGAATTCCCTCTTTACACTAGAAAAAAGTCCAACTCCTTAGCCAGATACTTAAGGCTCTCCCCAAACTAACTTCTCCACCTTTCCCAACGTCCTTTATTATGTGAAGCTTCTAAAGATGAATGCCATGTTCTTTCAAGACTGGAAAATTGATAAAAGTGGCAGCTTTGTGTAATATCACTTCTTTACAATGTGGCTTTCTTTTTCTTCTCATAAATGTACCCTTGGTACTGCTTTTGCATGTCTCAGCCATGATCAAGGTCTATTTTGTTCCACAAGGTCAAATAATGAATGGAAATAAGGAAATAGAGTAATAACATTTCTCAACTAACTAACAACAAGGAAAAACTTTCAAGCAAGGGGGGAAGCTCTTATTACTGGGAGAAGCCCTGGTGGTGCTGTACGGTAAGCACTGGCCTGATCATATCAAGGTCGGCAGTTCAAACCCACCAGTCGCTCCAAGGGAGAAAGAGGAGACTTTCTGCTCCTGTCAAGATTGTTGTTGTTGTTGTCAGGTGCCATCGAGTCGGAACCGACTCATAGCAACCCCATGCACAACAGAACGAAACAATGTCCGATCCTGGGCCAATCTCACTACTCACTACTGTCAAGATTATAGCCCCGGAAACCCTAAATAGAGTAGTTATGAGTGGAAAGTGACTCAGTGATAGTGGGTTTGGTTTTTGGATGGGTTATTACTGGTGGCAAAGGGATTAAAGTATTTGACTGCTAACCAAAAGGTGGGCAGTTTGAACCCACCAACTGCTCCATGGGAGAAAGGTGTGGCAGTCAGCTTCCACAGTGGATTTGGTTTTTGTTTGGATTCCTGTATGTTAAAGAGTTGTTATGAGAATTTAATTATCTCTTATTTGGAAAGTATACGTGTAATTGTAAATAGATACTTAGCCCTGGTGTGGCACTGTGGGTTAATGCGCTGAACTGCCAAAGTTGGTTTGAACAACAAGGTTGGTGGTTCAAGCTTACCATTCACTCCTTGGAAACCCTAGATATACAGAGTCACTATCGGTGGAAAGTGACTCGACAACACTCAACAACAGCAACAACATTTCTCCATTATGAACTCACCATTAACAAACATCTCGTGACTCCGGTTCTTTTTATCTCCCCTTGAAGAATCACTTAGATTTTTCCAAGATATCATGAGCTAATTTTGAAACCTAATGAGGGATTTGGCTGTTTTGTTGAACCAAATTTCTATTCTCTACTTCCTTTTCTCTTTCTCTTTCTCTTTCTCTTTCACTCACTTACTCAGTTATAATGCTTATATTTTAGCTCCCCTTTGCTCACCCATTTTGGTTTTATTAACCACTCAGTTAAGTCTCCTTAAACACACTTGTACAGCTAGACACAAAACCTTTTTAGTTATGTGAAAGTATCCTATGAAAAACAAGCAACCAAGTTGTAGCAATGGCAACAACAGCATCAGAAGGCCCATTATCATCGAGTCTACTCTAA